GCAAACTGCATGAGGCTTTATTGTTTTTTAACAAGCTAACCCCATGTTAGCTCGGGTCTTTACCCCACCCGCCATGGCAGATGGCTAGAAAGGGGAGTGTCTAGGGGTACACACAGGCTCAGAATTGGTGTGCCTCCAGGCTTGGAGGGCTTGCCCTGTGTTGATTGGTCAACTGGTTGTTATATAGCAACCGCCCTCCCAGGGTGGTTGCTATGCTGTGCGTCATTGCTGTGCACTTTTCTGTAAAGCACACCCAGAGCCATAAAGCATAGTGCCACCAGCTAACTTCTGATTGGTTCCTTGCCACGAGGCAGGCACCTAACCTCTTAGTGACCAAGGCAAGGTTATAGCGAGCATGTGTTACTGTCATGGCTGCCGAAATGGGGGGCTGGTTCCTTCATTATGTATACAACATTCTGCTTCTGTGTATATCTGCACACCAGAAAGAGGGCACCAGATCTCATAATGGATGGTTGTGAGCCACCATGTGGTGGCTGGGAATTGAACTCAGGACCTCTGGAAGAGCAGTCAGTCCTCTTAACCTCTGAGCTCTCTCTCCAGCCCGGGCCAAGTTCTTTTTTTTTTTTTTCCAGACAGGGTTTCTCTGTGGCTTTGGAGGCTGTCCTGGAACTAGCTCTTGTAGACCAGGCTGGTCTCAAACTCACAGAGATCCACCTGCCTCTGCCTCCTAAGTGCTGGGATTAATGGCGTGCACCACCAACACCCGGCTCCAGCCCAAGTTCTTTACCAAGTGGATTCCTGATATTGAACTCATATGTTCACATGTGGTTGGCAGGGGTTACCTGAAACATCTCCCTTGTGCAGATTTTTTGGGGGGAGGGCGATGGGGGTTTGAGATAGGGTTTCTCTGTGGCTTTGGAAGCTGTCCTGGAACTCACAGAGATCCAACTGCCTCTGCCTCCTGAGTGCTGGATAAAAGGTTTGTGCCACCACCAGTGATTTTTTTTTGTTGTTGTTGTTTGTTTTGGTTTTTTTTGAGACATAGTTTCTCTGTGTAACACCTTTGGCTGTTCTGGAACTTGCTCTGTAGACCAGGCTGACCTTGGATTCACAGAGATCTGCCTGTTTCTGCTTCCTGAGTGCTGGGATTAAAGAAGTGTGCCACCATCTTTGGCTCCCTGTTCAGATTTTGTTTGTTATTTGTTTTAATATTTCCTGCCTTTAATCCCAATACTCCTGAGACAGAGATTGGCAACCTCTGTAAATTCAAGAACAACCTGATCTACAAAATAAGCTCCACACCACAGGCAGACATGGTTTCAAAAAGTAATTAAATAGCCAGGTGGTAGTGGCATAGGCCTTTAAACCAACCACTCTGGAGACAGAGGCAGGCAGATCTCTGATTCCAAGGCCAGCCTGGTCTACAAAAAGTTCCAAGATACCCGGAACTACATAGAGAAACCCTGTCTCAAAAAAACAAATAAATACAATTTTATTTTATGTATGTGTATATTATATGCAATTATTTTAGAGACAACAGTCTTTGTAGTCCAGGCTAATATTGAATTTAACATCCTTCAATTTCAGATACTATATCGTATAACATTGGGGTTGCAGTTGTGTTCTGCCTTTGAAGAAAGCACTGATGGGGATGGAGGGTTGAGTATAAAGCTGCTTCCTGTGGACAACACATTGGTAAAGGAGATCTGACTTAACACCCACCTCCTATAGTAATGAAAACAAGGACCTCCCATTTGAGGGGACAAGCACTTTAATGTCCCCACTGGAAGCAAGTAAGGGAGATTGCTGGTTCCGGGCCAGCCTGGGCTACATAGTAAGACCCTTATTCCTTTAATCCCAGTACTCGGGAGGCAGAGGCAGGCGGATCTGTGAGTTCGAGGCCAGCCTGGTCTCCAGATCGAGTGCCAGGATAGGCTCCAAAGCTCACAGAGAAACCCTGTCTCGAAAACAAAAAACAAACAAACAAACAAAATATCCTTATTCCTGTTCCCTAAAGACAAAGTAAAAAAAAAAAAAAAAAATTCCAAGGTGGTGGTGAATGCTTTAATCACAGCACTCAGAAAGCAGAGGCAGGCAGATCTATGAGTCGAGGCTAGCTCTAGCCTACAGAGTTAGTTTCAGGACAGCCCAGGTTATGCCGAGAAACCACATCTTGGGATGTATGGGGGCGAATCAAAAACAGAACAAAACAAAAAAAAAAAAAAAAAAAAGAAGAAAGGTTTTGTAGGGAATTGTAAATCCTATTTTTTGTTTTTTGTTTTTTGAGACAGGTTTTCTCTGTGGCTTTGGAGGCTGTCCTAAAACTAGCTCTTATAGATCAGGCTGGTCTCAAACTCACAGAGATCCGCCTGCCACTGCCTCCCAAGAGCGGGGACTAAAGGCGTGCACCACCACCACCTGGCATAAATCCTTTTTTAAAGCCCAAATTGGTCTCAATCTTTCAGTAACCCAAATGCCTCAGTCTCCCACGTACAGAATTAGGATATAATTCATTAGCTTTGGCCCAGCCTGGTCTACAAGAGCTAGTTCAAGGACAGCTTCCAAAGCCACAGAGAAACCCTGTCTAAAAAAAAAAAAAAAAAAAA